TGTACTCTCACTTCCTGTTGGTTCAGACAAAGAGGAAGAAGAAGAAGTACAGTGGAGGACATGAGACTGGTCTGTTGGACAGAGATGTTCTTCTGAAGCTGGGGAGGCTGGCGTTTGAACATCTGCAGAAAGGAAACATCATGTTCTACCAAGAAGATCTGGACCAATGTGGTCTGGACGTGACCCAGGCCATGGTCTACTCAGGAGTTTGTACTGAGATCTTCAGAAGAGAGAGTGTGATCTTCAAGAAAACTGTCTACTGCTTTGTTCATCTGAGTGTTCAGGAGTTTCTGGCTGCAGTCTACATGTTCCACTGCTACACCAACAGGAGGACACGGGTACTGCAGGACTTCAGTGACTTCAGTATAAGTGACTCTTCACTGAATCAGTTCCTCAGAGAGTCAATGGAGAAATCCCTCCAAAGTAGAAATGGTCACCTGGACCTGTTTGTTCGCTTCCTTCATGGTCTGTGTCTGGAGTCCAACCAGAGAATCTTAGGAGACCTGCTGGGTCAGACACACTGCAGTCCAGAAGTCATTCCAGAGGTCATTAAAGACCTAAAAGCTATGAACACATACAGAGTCTCTCCAGACAGAAGCATCAACATCTTCCACTGTCTGACAGAGTTGAAGGATCAGACAGTTCATCAGCAGATCCAGGAGTTCCTGAAGTCAAAGAACAGAGACCAGGAACTCTCTGAGATCCAGTGCTCAGCTCTGGCCTACATGCTGCAGATGTCAGAAGAGGTTCTGGATCAGTTGGACCTGAACCAGTATAAAACATCAAATCAGGGAAAACGGAGACTGATCCCAGCTGTGAGGAACTGCAGGAAGGCCGGGTGAGTTAGTGATCAATCACTATTGATTAGTCAGTCAGTGTTCAGTTTATGGGTCATGGGTGGTTAAAGAAGTGCAATGAATGTCAGCAGGTACCTGTGTTGGTACAGATCTGTCAAGGCTGAAAACTGAAAGATATTACTATGCCAATTATCAGAACCATTGACTGTGAACTAAATCTAAAAA